CCAGCTCCTCACTCAAATTCCCAGCATGAGTACTGCTGAGGACCCTTCCCTCCACATTCTGAGATCCCAGGCCTTCCCTCCACCCCGACTGGCTGGGGCTGGGCTGCTAGGGAGGTATCAGAGCCAGGCAAGACGTTGGATAATCTCTTTCAGCAGAGACTCTGAAAGACAAGAGCTGTTACCCTCCCCTCTCACCCCCGACGTGGGATAGTGTCTGCAGTCAAGGTGGTGGACTGCCTCCCTCCTAAGGATCTCTTCACCACGTGCCTCAGAGGGCGCCCGTCTTAAGAACAGACAAACCTCTGGGCCATGTTTGATGGGGACCCCAGCTTCACTTTTGCCCCCTTTTGCTGCCCCTTCCTAGAACAACCACGCTGGAGTCCAGGTCTCTGGGTTCGAATCCCGGTTCTACTTCTTGAACAAGTTACTTACTTCTCTGTGTCCCAAGTTCCTCTGTAAAATGGGGACAATGATAGTACCTCCCCCATAGAGCTATTCTTGGATTAAATAGGATTGGATTTAAGTCCTTAGCTTAGTGTCTGGCGTATTACAGTAAGTGTTCTCTAAATGTTTGGGTTTTTGTGAATACGGTGTTTGTGTTTATCTTCTAATCTGGAGTACCTGTTGGTCACCGCTCACCGAGCATCACAACGCAGGCTGCCTCCACGTGGTAGCGCAGGGATCCTCACAACCCCCATGGAAGACAGCACCCCATCCCGCAGACGAGCAAACCCAGGCCCCAGAGCCAGGAACTGTCCAAGCTCTTGCAGCCAGACCATGGGAAAAGGGAGGTTGCAACCCAGGTCTGGCTGAGTCCAGAGCCAACACTTTTTCACTCCACCAACTGCCTTGCAACTCCATCTCATCTGAGTAATTTTTGGGGGAGGAGTTTGGGGAAATTGGAGAAATCTGGGATGTGGAAAAGGGATATCACCCAATTGGGATACAATGCCACAATTCCAGAGGTCACCAGGCGTCCTCTGAGAAAAGAAAGCGAGGACAACAGAACCCTCAGACCTCCCACCACTGAACCCTCAGGCCTCCAAGGACTGTGGCTTTTGTCTGTGAGGAAACTTAGTCAAAAGAGCATGGCCTCCAGGGTCACCTCATGGAAGCAGGCTGAGAAACAAAAAGCCAATGTCAGGGCCGGGAGACGGAGAGGTGTGGCCCACTCCATCCCTTCCCACTGCCCTTCTGGGCCTATTCAAGGATGTTAGTTGGGCCAATGTGCTAGCAGCTGGGGTCACTATGCCTCTTTAAAAGGCCCCATGAACTAGGCCCTGGCCCTTTGCAGGCCTAGCCAGAGCAGTGCAGAGCTGGGGGAGGAGTCCAGAAAGGAAAGGCCCAGGGACCGCTCTCCTAAAGCGGATGTTTCTCCATGTGTGTCCCTCTCCCCACTTGCTGTGAGAAGCCCTGGACAGCTCTTTCTTGCACCTTCTTCTCCACCCGCCCGAAGCCTGCTCCATTCAGATAAGGTGAGCCTGAGTCTGTTCCCAGACAGGCTACCAGGGCCATGTAGGCCCACATGTCGGGACCCCGTTGCTTCTGTGCCAGCCTCTGCTCACCTGAGACTTGGGTGGGGCATTGGGGGGAAGAGCCCCTTTGGTCCAAGGCTCTGGGGCCTGACTATCTGAGGGAAAAGGTGGTCTGGTGTTGCTGGCATGACTTCCAAACCTAGTTTGGGGTCAAAGCTCCAGCCAACAACAAAGTCTCCTATTGCTTTGCTTTACCTTTTCTGTGAGGCACTGGGAGGCTGGGAAAGAGTCGAGCACTTCCTGGTCCTCCGATCATTAGATCCATCTTATGGCCATCACAGTCTCACCGTGATGTCTAGAGTGGGTGGTGGCAGCTATACTGAAGAGGTAAAGAAGTAAAGAGAATTTCGGAGGGTCAGCTGTGTCCTTGAGCCTTTGGAGACAAAAAAGGCTGTGCCTTAGGCCCTTGGGAGTTTGTAGCTGAACAGCCCGTGCACTTTCCAGACATGTGGCTCCCATGCCAACAGCACTCACTTAGTAAGAGAGACGAGTCCAAGAAAAATGCAGACACTGGGGGTTGGAGGACTGACTCTGGGCAGAGGGAGAGCAGCGGTGATGGAGAGGTGGAGAAGGGGCCTGTGTCTGTGGAGCTACCTATGCACATGGACTTAGATCAGATCCTTTCATGTCCTGTAATCCAAACTCTGATGACATCAAGGCGGCTCTGACACACCGCCGTGTGTCATAGGGAAGCCCAGAGCATGGTGTCAGACCTTCGGTCTTCGGGGTGAGGATGTGATAGCCAAGGCCAAGGTCCAGCTGGCCAGTGGGACAGTGGGAATGTGGGGCGGGTCCCCAGGAGGGAGGTGCAGCTGGGGATGCACATTTGGAAGCAGAGGCTGAACCTGCAGTAATGGGCGACTGTGTGGGGGCGGGTGGGGGCGGACGGGGCTCTGAAGAGAGAGGAGGAGAGGCCTCCGGGAACACAGCGTTCTCAGGAAACAGCAGTTCCTGTCGTAAATTCTGGCTCCTCGCCTCTGACAAACTTCCTGATTCTGAACTGCGTGGCCTCAGTGCTGGCACCTTCCCCATGCAGAGCGGGAGGAGGGACTTGCCTCTTGTGCAGATCTACTGTGTGCGGGTGGGTGCTGTGCTGCGGGACACGGCCCGGACCCCCTGGGGACAGGCGCCACGTTCCCACGTGCAGATGAGCACCCAGCGGGGAAGGGGCAGAGGCTCAGCCCCACCCTGCAGCTCCTCAGAGTCGGGGCTACTGCTCAGAGGGGTTGGCTTGCTTTCTGAGGCAGCACAGTCCCCAAACCGGGATTGCAGGGACCTGCCTTCTTGCCCCGGTTGAGACACTAACCATCTGGATGTGGCAGGCGAGGGCATGTCACTTCTTTGGGCCTCAGTTTCCTTGCCTGTAAACAAGAGCCCCCTTTCAACTTCAACGTTCTAGAATTCCACTTTTGGAACCAGTTGGTGCCACATTACCAGCTTGTTGTGTACTCCTACGTTGGTTTATATTTGGGTGTCCTGAAGCTCCCGCGGTAAGAAAGGGCAGCTGTCTCCCTCAGCAAGTCAGGACTGCTTGAGCAGAGGCCTCTGCCTTCTTAACAGGGGCTGAATTTCATCTCCTTCTGCCTCTGAATTAAATTCAACTCAATAAACATTGACTGGGCCATTGCCTGGCTTTGTGCTGGGCATCATTGAGCTCAAGGAACTTCCCTCCAGGAATTCTTAGTCTAGTAGGGGAGACAGACAATAAAACCTCACTGAGACAAGGGTAAGAGAGCAGGTCAGGGAAGGAAACAGTTCACTCGGCCAGGGAGCTCAGGGAAAGTTTCACAGAAGAGATGGTTCCTAAACTGGGTTTTGAAGGGTGAATAGGAGTTCAACAAGCAAACCAAAGCACAAAAAACCCTCTAGGTGAGGAAATAGACTGTGCAAACGCATGGAGGTATCAAACAGTATAGTCCATGGGAGCATTGCCAGGGTTTGAAATGGGATGAATATGAAGAGGAGAGGAACATGAGGAATGAGGCTGAGGCTGTGAGGGAGGGCAAAGCGTGAAGGCCTGGTGGGCAGCCTACAGAACTTGAGCTTCATCCTGAGGGCTGTAGGGAGCCACTGAAAGGTTTCAGGCAGGAGCATATGACATGAAGATCTGTTTCTCAGGAAAAACACTGCATTGTGGAGGACCAATCGGGGGAGGTGGGGGGGGTGCTGGGAGAGAATAGGGGCAGGGAAAGCTATTGGGAGCTATTGCAATAGCCCCAGTAAGAAGCAAGGAGGGCTGGACGATGGTGTGATGGTAGGAATGGAGAGGAGGGTGTGGAATCAGCAGCCATCCAGGAGAGAGAGGCAGAAGGAGTGGAAACCACCAGAAGGCGGCTGGGGAAGGAAGACTTGCCAAGGTGCCAGAGACAGTGAGGTGCGTTCCATACTATAGGTGCGGATCATTTTTGCACAATGATGCTGTTCTCCGAGGAAACAAAGCTGGGCTCCCTGCCACCTTCCCTGACCACACCCTCCCTCCTAGGACCCTCCTGGTGGGAGAGTCTGGGACCCCCAGCCCACCCAACCTGACCTAAAGCAGCTTTCTGGATCCCAAACAAACTTCCTCCTCCCTCTGCCTCAGAGGCCCAGAGTTCTGGTTCCCATGACAAGAGGCAGGAAGTTGAGGACCTGGTGAGAGATGAGGGGACCCACCCAAAGTCCTGCCAGTCCAGCAACTTCCTGTCCCGAGGCTCCCCTCGACCAGAGCCCTCCCTCTAGACCTGTGGTTCTCACCAGGGGACAATTTGTCAGTCTTGAGATGGTTTTGGTTGTAGTGTTGAAGGGCAGGGGCTACTGGCTTCTCATGGGTAGAAGGCTGGGATGCTGCTAAACATGCTGAGGTGCTCAGGACAGGCCCCCACAACAAAGAACCATCCAGCCCAAATGTCTATAGAGCTGAGAATGAGAAACGCGACTTTACACAGGGGTGTCGGGGTGCCCCTGCCCACAGAAGCCAGGAGGAGGCGAGATGCTCCGGCAGGGCTCCCAGGAAGGGCTCCAATGATAAGAGGAATCCTGATAATAGCCATAGTCAGAGTCCATGGGCCCATGGCACTGATGAGGCCCAGAGGGGCAGTGACCAGCCCAAGGTCCCCCAAGGGGCAGGGCATGGCCAAGCCTGGGGCCCACCTTTCCGGCCTCCTAGGTCCAGCCTGTTGTGTGCCCTCCGGGACAGAGTCCCAGGAGACCTCTGAGTCCTCTCTGATGGGCAGCACCTGCCTGAGTTTGAGGGACTCCCTCCTGCCCGCTCCCAGCATCCCCCACTCCAGCGGCTAGGGGAATTTTTCTTCTTTGGAACTTACACTGTGTCCAGACGTTTCAGACACCGTGGGCCACTGGGGCCCAAGTGAGCGTCTGTCAGGAACAGCCCTGAGCCCACCCTCTCCTGGCCTCACTCAGGGTGTTTTGGCAACTTATTCAAAACACAAAACACGAAAGCCGGTCTGTCTCCAGGACACTGTTTCTGCCCCACTGCGGCTCACTTATGTTTGTTTATAGACCAAATGGGCCTGCGTTTGCTGTTGGTTTAACCCTGCCCCCACTCCCAACTCCTCCCACCCCCACCCTCGGGCCCATGCTCTGTCGACACTTGGACCCCCGAGATCCCTCTGCCCAGCCTCCTGAGCCCGGTGTACAGCCCATAGCCCACACAGTGCCCAGCTGGAGTTTGGCAGCATCTGCTGGAGGTAAGGACCGGTCCTCCAAGGGTAACATTCCCTCCCATCAGTTCCTGTTGGGGTTGGAGCACAGGCCTGAGGGAGCCTAACCGTCAGCCTTGGAATCCAGCTGTTCCTCCTCCTGCCCTGTGACCCCAGGCAAGTTCCTTCTCCTCTCAGTGCCTGCCTTCCTGTCGGTAACATGGGGAGTGAAGGGTGGGGAGGGTAGGAGCAGGGTTGTAGTGAGGACTTCTAGCTCAGAGTACTTAGAGCAGAGCCAAGTGCTCAACAGCAACGAGTAGCTCCTATTATTACTATTATTATTGCTGTTAGTCTTAGTGCTCCTTTGTGAAGCCTGAGCACTAGAGTCCTGATCTTCGGCCCCCCAGGGGGTCTGAGCAGGGATGAAGACCACCTCCCCTCCTGGCCGGATCCAAAGCCAGCCTCCCCCAGTCAACCCCCGGGGTGGGTCCCATGCTGATTGGACCAGATAAGGTAGGGGACAGTTTTGGGGGCAGAGGCTGTCCTATTCCTTCTCCCACCATGGGCCCCACTCTGGGGAAGAATCATATTGCTCTTTGCTGTAAACAGACAGTTCTTGAAACGGGGGGCGGGGTGTGACAAAGCCTGGCCCTGTGTGTGGTCCACAGAGAGATGGCGGGCCTCGCTGCCCAATGCCAGGAACTGTTTGTGCTCTGCAGGCCAGCCTCTCTCCCCGCCCAGCCCCACCTTCCCACGGCCACATCCACAGCCCCCAGGAGGTGTGCGAGACACCTCCAGGCAGAGGGTGGGGGCCCCTCGGGTCCTGAGGCTGAGGAGGCTGGCCTTCCGCTTCAGGCTGCCATGTTCTCCATTTTTTTCTTCATTTGTCCCTATGTATCTGAAACGCACACATTTCACTGCAAGTTCAGTCTCCTGCCACAGTCCTCATGGAAATACAAGAATTTCTAGACAACAAGATTTCTAGATACAAGATTTCTACCTGGATACCATAACTTTGTTCCATCGCTTCCTGGGACACGTTACTGGGCCCCTTCCATCAACTTTACCGAGGGGTGCTGTACCTGATTTCTCTTTCCCAGTTCCTGGCTTCTTCTCCATCCCCCTCCTGCCCCACCCCAGCCCCCAGCCCAGTGGTCCCATGGCCTCTCCTTTATTCCTCACCTCTGCCCTGTGGTCCTGTTTTCTCCCCCGAAGCTGGCCCTGCAGGAGACTTCCTGTTCCCAGGGTCTGGCACAGGCTGACCGTCGCCAGGGGCAGGGGGAGGCCCAGTCTATGGACCATTCCTGGGACCTTGACATCACAACAAGCAATCTGTGGGCCCTGGTTTTTAAATGATCTGTAATTAATGCTGTTTTTGTTATTTAGCACTTTCTCATCAAAGGGCTCATTTAGGCCTTGCAAAACCTGACAGATAAGGCCAAATTTAAGGCTTCTCTTGGGAGTGGCTCCACCTGGGAGGAGTGCAAAGCTCCAGACTCCTCTGTCCACCTTGGGCTCCTGTGTCAAGTGTGAACTAATTGCTATGAAGGATGGGCAACAGGAAGGGGAGAAGTTCCATCTTCCGTTTCAGACCTGAGAGGCCTGAAGGCGTTGCCCATGGCTGTCTCAAAGGTAAGGCTGGCAGCTCCTCCAAATGGGACATCCCCAAGCAAGGCCCTGTCTCCCCATCTCTCCAGACTCCTTACACTGCTCACTCCAGAGAATTATACGGGAGCCCCTCAGAGGCTGCTTTTTCTAACTGACTGACTAGCAGAGCAACGAAGGACTCATTGCCTCCTGTCTCTTTCTCTCAGATGAGTTCCTTTATTCGGTTCTGAGGATGGCCTGACCATGGGGCCCTGGGGCCCACTGGCTGGAGGAGAGTCAATAATGTACCGACAGCACAGCCACAGATCTGGCCAGACACCCCCTCTCTGAAGAGGCAACTCCCCTGTGCCTGGAGGCGAGCGTGGGTGTGGGAGGCGAGGGCTCATGCAATGGCAGGTGCTGAGCCTGCAGCTGAGGACGAGGGCAGAGGGGACTCCGCCCTGTCTCCTCTCCTGATCTGGTTGGCAGCCGCCAGAATTTTCGTCTCTGCTTGACCCCAGCCCTTCTTTCTTCCCTCCCCTCTGTGAGTCCTGGAGCTTGGAGAGCCCAGGGCTGGAAGGAGGCATTGGTACAGGACCGTCTCCTTCCCAACCTGCTGTCTCGGGCTGTTCCCTCTGATCTCATCCTCCTTCTGTCCAGCTCAGTACCTCTGAAGCTGGCCGTCCTCCAAGTCTAACCTCAGATCTCGCCTCCTCCAGGAAGACTTCCCTGAATCTTGGCGTGGTGCTACCTCCCTTCCCAGAATTCCTGGGGCAAATAAAGTTTGTACCAGAAAGCTGCCACATGCCACGTCCTCCGGTTGTGTGTGGACATCATTGAGACCGATCACAAAAGCTCTGGCTCTCTCTCCTTCTGGACACTTGGAAGAGGTGTACATCCCCGCCCACCTGAATTCAGGCGGGGCCACGTGACTGGCCATGTGAGTGGAAATGGTGAGTGTCACTTCCAGGAAGATAGTTTTAAAGTCAGTATGTACTTTTCCATGACAACTATCTAAGCTCCCAATAATGGCTGCCTGGGTCCCTGACTGCAACAGACTGAGCCCCTGCAGATCTGTGATGATGTGTAATTGTGAGCAAAAATTAAAACTTTGTTGTTTTAAACCACTGCAATGTTTAGAGCTGTTTGTTACTGTTGCATAATCTAGCCCATCCTAACTGATACATGGTGTGAGCAACAAGGATGTCCCACTTGACCAGTTTGAGACACAGAATAAATTCATAGTCCTTATAATTTTCATTCAAATTATAAAAACTTTTGATCCTTACCTCTGCTGGGGGGTGTGCTCACCAAAGCCACTGGCTGGGCAGTGGGTCCTCAAGGTTACATAGGAGACATTTCCCAGAGTCACAGTAGGCCATGGGCTTCATGCCAGGCTGGACTTCAACTCCCAGTTCTGAAATTCTTTAATTAGGTAGACACCAGCCTAGAGCATCCTCCTAACTCTTGGTCAACTGGGCAAGCCCACTGCTTTCATCTCCTTTTTTTTTTTTTTTTTTTTTTTTTTGCTGAGGAAAATTAGCTCTGAACTAACTTCTATTGCCAATCTTCCTCTTTTTTTCTTGAGGAAGATTAGCCCTGAGCCAATATCTGTACCAATATTCTTCCACTTTATATGTGGGTCACCAGCACAGCTTGGCTGATGAGTGATGTAGATCCATGCCCAGGGCCAAACCTGTGAACCTGGACTGCCAAAGTGGAGTGCACCAAACTTAACCACTATGCCACAGGGCCAGCCCTGCTTTCATCTCCTTTTACCCTCCAAATGTTATCTCAGAGATGTTGAAGACCTTCCATGCCCCTGGGTCTCAGTCCCAGGACTACCTGGTACACCCTGATTTGTTTCAGTAACTTAAATCCTCAGAGAGAGCAGATTGTTCAAGAGCAGATCTTAATTCTCCTAGGGCCACAGGCTTAGTATGCAAATTTAGGCACTGCCACCCCCCCACTGCAGCCAACACCACCACTTCGTCAAGCGACTACCAGGCTCTTTGTCTCTATGACCATGGCAGAAGGTGACACAGCTCCATGTGCCCACAGGACTGGAGCCCAGGCCCAGATGGATCAGAATACCCAGACACACCATCCCCCAGAACCATAGGTGGCTACTAACCTCATACTTGGGTATCTAGCTGCCCAGAAACTGTGGAACCTGCTCTAGAATGCTGCAACGTCTTTTCTAAATTGAAGCCTGGCCCTCAATTGCCAGTCTTTCTCCACACCTCCACTCCAGGATGAGAATTTAAAGCCTCCCTTCCCTAGGCACCCCACGTGTGACTCTTGGCTCTTGGCTAAACGGCCAGCCTCTTGCATCCCCGCATTACCCTCGAACATCGCAGGGCCCACAGCGAACGCTTGACAAACCCTGGTGGCAGAGAGGAATTTGATCCTCTGGAGCAATGTACTCAGGCACAGCTGAAGGGAATCAAGCTGCCCACAAGCACCAGAGCAGCCTCTCCCAGCAGCCTCCAGCCCTGAGCCCGGGGCCAGGTGAGGAGGAAGGTAAGGGAGGAGCAGAGGAGGGAACAGATGATATCAGGGAATCAGTGATGTGACTGTGTTGGAGGTGGTGGTAGGAAGTGGCCCCTACAATCCAAGATCTTCTCTGACTTTTCAACTGGAAATTTCTGCTCTCCCCGCCACCAGGATATTCCTCACTCCCAACACTCCAACCTCACTTTGCACAATCAACAGATTCCTGAAAAGATGCCAAGGAAATGGGTTTTTGGGAAATCATACCCTATTCTGAATGCCCAGTGGGGAACGCTGTGTTGAAACACATCTTCCGTAAATCCTTTTGTACAGTAACACCCCCCACGGCACAGATCAGGTGATCTTCTCTGGGACACTCCCCCACCTTCTAAATTACCAAGCTGCTCCCCTCCAGGCTCACCTGGGCTGGAGGTGGAGGCCAGGCTGGGGGACCCTCCATCTCTGAGGACATAAAGGGCGAATAAGGAGACATTCGCCCTTTGCAGGCAGGATCTGAGGCCCCGCAGCGGCGTGAGTCACAGGTGATGAGTCACCGCATTGTTTGTGCTGATGGCCCGGGCAGGAAGCAGTCAGGCTGCAGGAGAAGTTGACTTTTCTCGTCTCGCTCCGGGTATGTGAGTCTACGTGTGTGCATGCGTGTGTGCGGTGTGTGTGTGCGTGTGTGGACGTGAGTGCTTGGACCCCCTTGAGTGCACGTGGGGCAGCACGTGCCTTGAAAATTACTGTTTCCCAACACATTTGGGGTAAAAATGACTGTCCTCCTTATATTAGTGGTTACCAAAGTGGAAGGGGGTGGGGGGAAGGTGAAAGGGGTAAAGGGGTAGACAGGTATGGTGACAGATAAAAACTGGATTATTGGGGGTGAGCACGATGCAGTCTATATAGAAACTGATGTATAATAATGTACACCTGAAATTACACAATGTTATAAATCAATATGACTTCAATAAAATAAATTTTTTAAAAAAGAAAAAAGTGACTAGCCTTCACAAGCTTGTGTCTTAGAGATAAGAGGGCCATGGACTGCACAGGCGTCAGCCGCGGAGCCCCTCCCTTCGAGGTGCGGTGGGAATGTAGGCCCCATCTGCTCAGCTCTGCATCCATTCCACTCCCTCTGCCTGGGAACCAACTGCCCTCCACCCACCACTTGTTGACCTTGTCCGACCTTGTCCCCTGCCCCCACACCCAGACACAGTTTACAAGACCAGGAGGGGACACAGGACTGGGAAATGGGAATTGGGACTAAGATTCCAGCCTCGGTCCAACTGTTCCCCTGACCAGAAGCCATATAGTGCTGGGGCTCTGGGTGGCTGTTTTCCCCACTCTGGGCTGGAGAGCAGAGAAAGCAGCTGCAGGAGAGAGAAGAAGGAAGCAGATGCCCAGAGGAGCCGAGAGGGAAGAGGCTTCCTGAAGCACACAGCCCTTCTGGGCCTCTCCCCACACCTGCTACTCCCCTGCTCCCACACCTGCCCACCCACACCCTGTCCTCGTCCCACAGGACCAGCCCAGGGGTTACCTCCTTTCCCTACTCCCTGACGCAGGGCACCCCTTCCTCCTCTGGGTCACCCCCTGTCTTCTCACCAGTCACACTGAGGTGGGATTTTGTGTCCCAACCTCCTCAAAGGAGCTGTGGCTTGTTTGTACACCAAGCACAGTGTGTCTCACGCAACGGGTGCTGCGTAAACACTGCTGAGCTGATGTCCCAAGGCCAGTGTTGACCTTGACCTCTCTGTTCCCTACAGGGTTGGTGAAAAGAGCCAGGTTTAACCTTGGTGTCTCCTGCCTCTGTGGAAGCCTGAATCCCCTCGGCTTATGGGGTGGAGAGCAGCTGGTCTCCTTCAGATGTGTCCCCTGACCCTATCCTGGGGAAACTGAGGCAGGAGGCATCTGTTCTCTGTGGGAGCATCCTGGAGAACACGAACCCTGCAAGCAGCAGGGCTTGCTTCTGGCTGGGTTATGATGTTTGGCTACCAGTTACTAACGCCCCCTGGGGCTGGCTTCAGGGAGCTCAGCTTAAGGAATCGAGGGTGTCTTAAACGCAGGACGAGAGCCTTTGAAATCTCCCCAACACTTTCTAAACAAATAGATACGTTTTTACCAATGTGAAATCAAACTGTACATCCTGTCTTTTGTAACCTGTTATTTTCATTCAACAGTATGTTACCAACATTTTTTTCATGTTAATAAACCTAGATCTAAAGCTTCATTAGTTGCTGGCAGTGTTTCCACTGTAAGAATGTCAGAGTTAGATACACGTGCCCTGTTGTTGGACATTTACTTATTTGTCGTTTTTACATTGAACAGAACACTACACATGAATACCGCTGTCCACGCGTCTTGACCTATGCTCTCCCTCGGATGAGTTCCTCACAGTGGCATTGCTCAGCTAAAGGGGAGGCACTGGGGTTTTTAAGATTTTTTGATGCCTAGCACCTAACTGCTCCCCAAGAAAAGATTGTACCAACCAAACTCGCTGCTCTCCAGCAGCCTACAGGAGCGCACATGCCCTCACCCCTCAGTGGCGCGAGGTCCTAGGATCCTGCAAATGGGTTTCAATCTGTCATAAGAAATAGATTTTTCCCTCCCCTGCTTACAATAGGGCTTCATAGGAGAAAAGCCAAACTCGCTGAGGAGGACTGACACCTATGGAACAGCTCCTACCACGTGCCAGGCACGAGACACGCTCATTCTCATTTAATCCCACAAGGTAGATATTATTGTTCCCGTTTGACAGATGAGCCAGTGAAGGTTCAGAGAAGTTGGGTGACTTCTCCATGATCACATAGCCAGGAAATGGCCAGAGTCAAGCTCTGACCCCAGGTCTGAGGACAAGGCCTGCGCTCTCTCTCCTTATGGCTCCTGGAGACACTGCACAATCTGGCTCTAACCCACACCTTCCAGCTTCATCCCATCCTTGACCCGGCCAAGCCCCTGCACCACACTGGTCCCCTTCAAAGGGTGCACACCCTATGTTAGCGCACACAGTGCTAGATGTGGGATTTGAGAGAATTGTTTTTATTGGTTATCTGTACTTTCTACCACAGCAATATTTTACTTAATAAACAGAGGGTTTTTTAACTTTAAAAAAAACTCGTCAAGATTCTCTTGGAGAAAAAAAAGAATTCCCTCCAGTGTTTCCTAACGTCCCCAAACACACACACACACACACACACACACTGTGACAGCCTGGGGTTGGTGTGCCACAGGCTGCAGGCAGGAGGGAGCAGAACATCTCAGAAGCATCTTGTGACCTTCCATGGGGAGGCTGGAGCCAAGCTCACCCACATTCAAGTCTCCCACAACAGGCCACTGGCCTTTGAGGATGTCCCAGAGCTACTGCTGGCCTCTCTCTCCCCCAGGGACCTGACCTCCCCTGACTCAGGCTGACTGTCTCCGGCACAGACCCTCGACCAGCCAGGCCCTGGGGAAACAGCTGGAACCAAATGACTCCAGCGGCTGCAGTTAAACAGCCAGGCCTTCCAAAATAAGCACAGGGAAGCCGAGGGAGCCAGGACTTCCAGCATCAAGCAGGGAGTCAGCTGAGGGCAGTTGGGGGGGGTGGTCGGTGCGAGGGGGACAGAGCCTGGGAACGTGTTGCTCAGGGGGAGCCAGAGGAGCA